ATAGTACATTAGGAAAGAGAATTTAGCCTTTCTCTGGTGGGAGAATTGTAAAAGTCTAATCCTGAGACGTGATATTGTCATCTTCATTGCACCGACTGAAATACATTCAGAAAGAAACTAGTGGGTAAAAATTCCAGATTAATTCTATTAACATCCCATTTAAGAGAGTCCAGAATTAGTCGAATCCTTAAATAGTCTCTAACTTTGAAACTGGTTTTCTGCAAATTCTTTTAAGACCTACATGAAAATGGGTTCCAAAGTTAAAGCCCAATTCAACAATTTGCTAAATTCTTGCACATACAGAAATGCTACTATTTTAGTGTTAATCTGGACTTGGGTGGGATTTTGCCCCTTGAATTGTTTCCAAGATAATTTGACTACAGTCGACCTGATAAAAAGAAAAAAGGAAATCAGAAATAGATTGGTCTCCAGGTTAAGTGGAAATTAGCTTGACGAGGTGTGCAAAGGTCTGTGTGGGAGAGAGAATTGGGAATGGTGCCTGCAGACATCCTAATATCAGATGTTCTCTCTCTCTCTCTGCAGAGGCATTAAGAAGAAGTCAGGTGCTTCAGCTTTGGGAATCGAGGGAATAGCAAACTGCATACCCATCGTGGCTCTAAGCAGCTGGCTAGGAGTCACTTTGGCAAAGGCAGATCATTTTGATTCTTGCCTTTGCTACAGCAGATGCTTGGTCTAGAGAGACCAATACATTTCATAAATATATACATATATATATATACCATCTATGTTTAAAAAAAAACTTTGTACTTTAAATAATCGGGGAATTCTATTCCCACTTCACAGCAGATCAGATGGAACCGCAGAGATAAAGAAGGATTTGGACCCGCACACAAAGAATAGTTCTATAATCACTCTCCTGCCTCCCTCCCGATGGATAGCATTCAGTATTTAATACTTCACACTCTCTCAGCAGGATTTTAATAACGATTTCATTAACCGAGACTGACTTGTCATTGCATGGATGCTTTGGCTGGCAGACTGACTTTTTATTTATCTGTGCATCTGCCTTAACTACAGGAGCATGATTTTTAGTATTTTTGACAGGCGCTATTAGATAGGAAGAAATCTAAAGTCTGCGAGATGGAGCAGCCAAGCCTGTCAGTGACATACTGAGGTATCCGAATGCTCACTGATTTCCTGCTTTGACGAATTACACTTTGCATCAACTGCTGTAGGATCTGAGGATGCATCCAACAAATAGCCTCCCTGAACCATCTGGGAACTCTGTCACCTCATAATCTTCTGAACAGACAAACCCACCCACTGCCCTCACCACACTCTCACTGATATCAGCAAGAACCACCAGCAACCTCTGGTGTACATTTGTTGTCCTAATACTTTCGATCAATGATCTTAATTATAGCAGTAAATTGCTCCGTCTTGAGTTGTGTTCTGAGTGGAAAATACAGTGTAGCTGTGCTTCTTATCACATGTACTGTTCAAACCATGAATAAATGTCAGGATTGGTGTACCAATTTAGCACTGTAGTGCTATTTGTCAAGTGTTTTCCCCATTTTGCCATCAAATCATACTGTTTTCCTTTGAAGTATGGGTTTTCCAAATCTCTCTGACGGACTGACAGATCTTTCTCGAAGGATTAGCTTAACTTCCTGATGAAAGTCAGAAGGCACATGATGGTGACAGGAGCAGTGAAAGGTACGAGAATGGCTTTCTGTGAACGTTATTACAGTTGCAAACTCCTCTTGCCCTGCCAGTAACTGTTTTCTCAACATTTCAGAAGATTTTAATTGACAAGATCCCTTCAACGTTGCAACTCTTTCTACGTTGCAACACTGCAAAACTTTTTCTTTAATCACATAGTGCCTGATCATGAGCCAATAAGGGTTTAAGTGCATGGGTTTTGTGAATGCAACGCACAGATTATAATCATTAATATTCACAAGACAGAACCCAGCCAACCCTCCAGACACTTCAAGCAAGGATTTACTCACATTTTCATTTTGATAAATGATTTAACATATTGAGAGAGAACTAATACGACTAAATAATAATAATTTAGTGACTCAATCCACCACTGTTTGTGGGTCACTTGGCTGCCTTGTTTCGCCCACAAAATACAGTCAATCCACTTTACAGTATATCTTGTATATACTGTGTATGCACAATTTAAGTGAAAACAAAGATTTCAGAGTGCAAATGGATGGCTGCTTCTTCACTCCTTACATCTCTAACAAACTCGCTCTGTCAGTACAAGGAGAAACTAGTTGACAGCAGCCCCAAGGTATTCATTCTGCTGTGAAAAATGGCTGAACTGAAGGTGGGGGGAGGTGGGGGAGGAATGAGCAAACATGTCAGTTTGCACTAAAGAGAATGATTCTCCTATTTTACTATTCTGCTAGCCAAACCTGCTGGTGGCAAATTTACTGATGATCAGAGCGTCACCCCTTAAATGCCTTTCAGGAGTCCTGTAGCTCAGCGGTTAGAGCACTCGCCTCATAAGCGAGAGACCAGAGTTTGATTCCCGGCCGGGCGAAACCTTGGGCAAGTTTCCTTACTCCACACACATGATAATAATCCCTCAAGAAAAAAAACAATAATAATTTGGTCACTTCAATCCCCAACTGTTTGTGGGACGCTGCTGTGCGCAATTGGCTGCTGCGTCTCGCCCACAAAATATGCAGTCAATTCACTTTACAGTGTATTCCGTGAAGCGCTTTGTGACGTCTCGAAGACGTGAAAAGCGCTATATCAGATGCAGGGATTGTTATTATTATTATTGTTGTATAATCTTCTTCCGCAGATATGCAGAATCATTCGAGCTTTTGTTCATAACATTGAGTCAGTCAAGCTTTGCCATATTGTTATTTATTATTTACAGGCTAGGCATATAAGTGGGCAAACATATTTCTTATTGTCTCTCATACGGTGGGCTGAGCAGATGGCAGTTTGAATGAAGCGATTGTTACTGGCAGGACAGAGAGGACATAATGGTCTAGAGGCTGGAAGCAGAATGAAGCATCCGGAGGTCTGAATCTTCTATCTGCTGTCATTGTACTTCTCCCAAATTAAATAGCAGCATGAAATCAAGCGTAGAGGTGAAGTTATTTTATGCTGGGGCTGCCACATACAGAATTCACTGAGTTTAACCCAGGATATCTGGAAGTAATTACATTTATTCTGACCTCCAATTCCCAGCCTAAACAGAGCAGATTTTTTTTCTGGTTTGCATACTCAAATTATTTTATTGGACACCATAAATCTGAGTGAAAACCTAGATCTTAAATCTGTTGTAGAGGAAATTAAAAATAAATAAAAACAATTTTAAGAAATCTCCCAGTAATGCAAAAAAGGCTTCCAATATTCATTCCTTTTTGTGTATTTTTGTGTATTCGCTTGTTTGCGTATTTTGTTTCGAGGTTCAATCAATAAAATATAATAACAAATGCATTAAAGGAATACCTGACACATTGAAGCTTTGCACAATTATCTTGTATTTTGTGCTAAGGTAACTCTTAGAGTATATCTCCCAATAAGAGTTAGGTGCTGAATGATAAGAAACCATATGATGCAATTCATATTCAATTCATATCCTATTGATGAGCTAACCTGATGTCACAAGAGAAAGGGAGAAAGCCCACTTGCTTTGGTGTATGAGGAGGGTCCACATCTAAGCCAGGCATTAGAGCCTGTTTTGAGAGTGAAGTCGAAGGAAAATTCTCATCACATGAACCGGCTGATGCCGAAAACATGGCTTTCCTCACCTCGAAGAATATAAAAATAATTATTATTCTGAAAAGATAACATATGAATTTTATAATGGAAACTAAAATAGCATGCAGATGGAAGACTCCTTCCAGTAACGAGACAGAAAAGAGCTTGTTCTCCATAGTTACGATAAATAATAATAATAAACCTCGCATTTGATATAGCGCCTTATCATGTCATTGAGATGTCTCAAAGTGCTTCATACATATGGTAAAGTGAATTGACTGGGAGTTTTGTGGGCGAAATGCGGCAGCCAATTGCGCACAGCAGTGTCCCACAAACAGCCGTGGATTCATTGACCAATTTATTATTATAATTTTTTTGACGACAAATAGATGTCATTAAAAATCTGAAGAATTTGTCAAGGTGATGACAAAATCACATGAGGATCGTAGAATCGTACAGCACAAAAAGAGGCCATTCGGCCCATCGAGTTTGTGCTGGCTCTTTGAATAGAATAGGCTAAACTTATTTTTAAATATATGAATTAAGGCAACACGTGGCAAAATCTTACATTGTCTAATAAATGCTCAAGGAAAGCAACTGTTCACGGCGTGTTTCAATGTGCAATTCGACTTGAAACGCATTGAAATAAATTGTTTAAAGAAATGACCAGAAACAATCAATGGGTAATGGCATCAATGTATTAACATTACTGTATGAGGACAGTGCAATTAAGGGATGTCATCAACATGTATATTCTCAACTGCTTATTATTTGTCAGTACGAATCGTGACTTTCATTCCAGAGCACGACTGCCTTTCTGTATAAGCAAGTCATACACGTGCAAAATTCAGTGATATATCTGGTCCCTGAGCTCAAAGTCTAGGCTGGCTGTCCAGTACAGTGCTGGAAAGCATTACATTGTTGGAAGTGCCGTCCTTGGGATGAGATGTTAAACCAAGGTCCCACCTGCCAGTTCAGGTGGATGTTAAAGATCTCTTGGCACTGCTTGAATAGAGAAGAGAGTTTCTCCCAGTGTCCTGGCCAACAATTCGCCCGAAGATAAAGAAAAATAGTCATTCACTTCATCGCTGTTTGTTAGGACATTGCTGTGTGAAAATTGGCTAATGTATTTTGCTACAAATAATCAACCGCTAAACGCTTTGGGCTGTCCTCTCGACTGAAAAGGCTCTATACAAACGTAAATGTTTATTATATTACACTTGACAGAAAACTCTTCAGATGTTTTGACATAATCAGGTCCGATAGCAAATGCATGGATTATTCATTCAAATAAAAACTCGAATGCGTTTTTGAACTATCGAAAGCCTTTTTAATTCACAAGTTCAAAGGACATTAAGCAGAATTGTAGAAACAAATGATATTCCAACACATTGTTACAAATGATCATTTCATCTCGGAATCTTTGCATTGTGTATATTAAAAAGTTAAAAATTCTTACAAAAACAATCATCAACACGTCTGCATGTGTCTTTCGGCGCGTTTGTTAGAAACTCATGTTGTTTTCCAAGTGATTCGCAATGGTTGGTCAATATAGAAATCGTTTTTGACCATTTGGATGATGAGTGTCTGTAAGAAGAAAAAGAGATTTCAGACACTATTCCACCTTGACAGGGTTAAATATTCTTGTTAGCAGCAAGTGGTTCACCTGCTGTTTGGGGAGGTTTGAAATAAGTGGTGATCAAGTGCAGTAAAATGGTTTCAGTAGTAAGTGTTTCCAATGAATGGGAGGCACAAAATAACTGATGCAAGAGAGTAGAATCACTGATCTCTCTCTCTCTCTCTCTCTCTGTATATATATATATTGTTTTTATGATACCAGTCCTAACCACAGATGAAAACTTTACCCAGGTAGGGATTCATGTTGAAATTACGTCAAGTGTGTTATTTGTGTATAAGCATTGAGGGGAGGGAGTAAAATCCTGTGAAGTGCTTTGAGGTGTTTCAGCGATGGGATAAGGCATTGTATCACCGTTATTATAAATTTGTTGTCTGCTACTGGCAGCAATGAGGAACACCAAGGCTCCAGTAGTCTTCATTGTACAACTGTTTGTATCTATTTCTGTGGAGTTACAGACTTGTGCCTGATATTTACAAGTTTAGGAGGATGAACACACATTTTATAGCAGTGTTCATGTGCACCCAGCCAGACTCTGACTCAAATCGCAATGATCCAATGTAAGGTGGGTGAGATGGTGATTTGTGGGTTCTCCTGCTCAGTTTAATGTTATTATTTATCTAACATTTTAAACGTTAATATCTGTTTGCATTGATTCTTGTTACTTAATATCCCGTCTGATCCCATTAAGTTGGGACCCGGATAACGAAAACATTAAGTTAAATAGGGGAGGCTTCAGAATCAATTGGTTATTTTTGGAATACATTTAAATCTATAGCAACAAAGTTTTTTTTAAAATGAATGGTGATTTAATTTTTTATCAGGAACATCCAGTTAACAGATGCAGCTGCGCTTGCTTTGCAGATTCTTAAAGGGTAAGCGTGAGCTCCACTAAATTGGCATGCAGTCTGTTGTGCCCCTGTTTACAGAGCCGAGAAAGGGAGATGATATCATTCCCAGAAATGCAGCGATGTGGAGTGCGAAGTCGATTTAATATTTCCAGCTCCTAATCACATCAGCTGGGGCCTCGGGAGAGTTACTTACACATGAACAGCCTCTATTTCGGGTGTTGGTTGTTCAAAAATGTAATAACACTAAAATATTGTGCCTCAGACTGCTCACTTTGACATAGATTTATACTGAACCAATGCGAATAGAATGCATCACTGAAACATCCCCCTCGAAATGGCTTTTGGTATACAGAGAAATTCACACTGCTCAACCCCAATCTCTTTTGATGAAGACAGGCAGAATTGCACTAACTCAGCAATGTAGTGCGCAGGTCCGTGCAAACCTCTACAGTTCCTCTCTGTGTGTCTCGTTACTGTGCTCTTGTTTAGAACTGCTGGTGAGATGGAGTTTATTGTGTGGAGAGCTAGAACTCTCACTGGCCTGGCCTCAGGGTTGCTCTCCACTAACAATGTGAGCAGATCCTGCTGCTCACACTCACCAGCCATGAACTCACTGGAGCGAAACATATTGATGTCGCATAAGGGGGCCTTTTGTACAAAATATTTGCTCCCTGGTTGTCTCCAAACAGCTCTTAAAGCATAAAACCATAATAAGGAGGATTCTTTCGTGCACACCTTTGGAATATCAGATGCTGTCTGGAAGGAAAGCTGACTATTGGAACGCTGAATCAACATCAGTAGAGACAGAGTTACAACTAAAAGATTATTCAGCAAAATTATGAATTGTATTACTATTTACAAAGGTGCAAAATAACACATATTCTTGGAGGGATTTTGAGAAATGTTCATGCGATAGGGAAATGATTCATTTATGAAGTATTATATTTGACCATTTCTCAAAATTACAGGCAGTGAAACACTGACCGTTTTTTGTGAAGTGTACAAGTGCTTCAGTGCAGCAATTATGCTATTCTTACCTGTTCCGTGACACTAAAATCGTTGATTTGATGGTCTGTGCCATTATAATGGGCAGTCACGCTTGCAATAGGGGTGTTCTCTATTCCCCAGACTTCGACAACTGCCAGTTTCAGCTCGCTTGCTGTGCTCTTGATATGGTTTTGCTTTATGGCGGTTGTCAAAACGTTCTGTAGTTTTCAAAATAGATTTCAGAGATAATCAGATGTTATTGGCGCAGATGATATTTTGACAAAAGAACAAAAGCGAGTTGATGCAGGAAAAAGCGAATATCATGTCACTGAATTTGGACAAGTTGGTAAAGGATTATATAAGATCTAGACGGATAAATCCAGATAAAGAATTGAACCAATGAATTGGGCAATACAGTTGCAGCCCAATAAAAACACAAGGAAGTTTTGAGCTTCGAGTCAAAGGATTATGGAAACATTTTTGTACAATGGGGTGAAAATGGTGAAGTTGCTTAACCCATTTGATGTGATAACTCTGATGATTTAATCAACCTTATTACTATTTATATACTCAGCGCAAGTACTCAGGCTATGAGTGACAATGAAAGATTGGGAATGCTGAATGATGCTGATATTTGCCTTCTATGCTTGGTTACCCTGAGCCTGTAGGGAACAACGTGAATGTTTTAAAATAGAAACACTAGAAATTCAATCAGCATCTACAAGAGATAATTGCATAATATTTGACGTGAGCTCCGTCATAACTGAAATGTGGGCTGAGCAAGCCACCAAAATAGAATGGCCTCGTTAGGTATCTGTTCACTTTAAACATTCTCTTTACTTGCCTCCATCTCAGAATGGGGCCTCCGAAGCCCATGCCCTCATTTCTGATGGTAGGTTATCAAGCTGTTTCTTAAGTGTCTCATTATCCTGGTTGCTGTGTTGCCTTTCCTGGTAACACATTTCAACTATTGACTACCCTCTGCGAGGGGTGATACTTCCTGCAAATGTTCTGAAATTACCCTTCACATCCCTGAATCTGTCTGTGTCTTCACGTTCTGCTGCCTTAATAATAATAATAATATTTCAAATATTTGGAAGTATTGTTCTGAGTTTACTTTCTCTATCCCATTCTACCCGAAGCATTCCCTGTCTTTCAGGGGCTTATTGACCAATTGTGCATTTGCAGCCTTTTCTGCTTCTGTTTCTAATTCCTAGCAACTGAAATTGTTTTTTTTTTTTAAAAATTCATTACACACATATCACTCATCAAAAGTAACATTCAACATTTTGGAAAATCAAAGGATAACACATACCTGTTTAACGCTAAAGGTACCTAGGAAGTATTCTTCTTTTGCAACTGAATCTACAAAGTAGAAATGGAAACAAGTTTGAATAAACTCCTGGCAAATAAAACGTTTGAGGATTATGAATAGTATTCTATATATTTTATACATTACATATATATATATAGAAATATATGGCATGTGGGTAGCTATAAGAGTGGTCGAGTGATTTTCTTTATGAATGTAAAAGACTTCCTCCCTATAAATTATAAAGATCTTTGGCATCAGTGTTGCAGCATCAATAATAGTCTCATTGGTGATCTACGGATGATATCTCAACGACAACAGAGAGCTACTGCTGTTCTTCCACGAGTGTGAAACATCCATTACTCACCAACACCTCAGCCACCAGTGACTTATGATAGGTTTCCGGATGCGAAGTAACAGCTGTAACTCACCAGTGCCGGCTGGTGAGAGATCTTGTACACATGAAGAATCCCTGGGATCTCAGTCTAGCTTCCAAAGGAATCCTGGACTGTTGTGTGTTGCTGTGTTGTCCGATTAACTATCTGATCAGTTGTATAGCTGTGCTATCATTTATATTTCTACCTAGATTCACAAACTCCAGTGCGGCTATGAAGATATAATTATCTCCCATAGCACACATTCTTTTAAGCTCCATTGCCCAAGAGCTTATATGTGTGATCCATTTGTGCAATACCCTGTCTCACTGCACTCATGAACATGATATGAGGTGGGAGTCATTTTTAACTGTGTTGTGATGGCTTCTCAAGCCGAGACAGTGAAATAACAACATTGAGTGCTGCAGAAGAAGCTGTTCAGAACCTCGGGCCTCCAAATGGCACTGTGGAGTTATGGCTTTCCTGATGGGTTTTGATTTTTACCACCAAAATAAAATAAAGAATTGCACTGAAAGAAATCGCAGTCAACATACCAATTGTCTGTCCATCATCCCAGAAAATATGACCTTCGGCCTGACTATTGTCATCCAAGGCAACAAATAGTCCCATATACTCTTTTCGGCTGTAAAATGAGTATTATATTTTTTTACTGCAGTTTTATTCACGTGGACAGAGTGCATGCTATAATCAATAATATCAATGAGATGGTTTTCAGATTGCACCAATACATTTTCAATACATATTTGCCTTAAATCTGTCAACTCTCTTATTCCTCTGTGCTCACATTTTTCTATTCAGTTCCTTTAGAAATCCCATCTGTTTCATCTCTGATTCTACCTTTATTAATACCATTGCAAATGAATTATTTTGCCTTCCTATAGCTATACGATTTGCTGTTCAGTTTTCAATTTTGCATGGTTGGTATTTACATCGCGTTACTTCAAGAAAATGATAACTGGAAATATATCTATTTATGCAACTTACCTATAATATGTGTTGTTTGCTGGTGATTGCCAGGGAATAACATAGCCACCTCTAACATGAAGATTAATGTGCTCAAGTGGTGTGGGCATTTCCAGCCACTTTCCTCTCACATTGATCTCTTTTTTCTGTAGAATACAGACAATGCTGATGAGGAATGTTTATTTACGTCTGGCGTATTCTGATATGCTTTCTGCTCATTAGTACTCAAATGCCTCAAGTGACAGGATCCAAACATGATTTAAATAAAACTTTCATCGAATCACTCTCTCCCTTGCTTGCTCACTTCTATTTAATTGTGTGAGTGGCATGAATGAAGAAATCTTTTATAATTTGTTTAATAAGACCTTTGGACAGCATTTTTTTTTAGCTCAAATGTGCTGCGTAGGCCATTATACTCCTCTTTTATAGACCAAAACTAAAGATCGCTGGCTTTTCCTATTGATATTTGAGATTGGAGCATCACATTGTGACCCACGTCTTCTTATACTAACTATATCTTATTCATGTAGCCGAGCAATCAGAATTGATAGATTAGAATTGCTACGTATTAGCAAGCAAAAGGGGATTACCCTTCAGTGGTCAACGACAAAAAATATTTCTGTTTTTTTAACAATAACCTCAATGTAACATGTAAAAAAGTGCAAACAATTTTCCTTTTTTTAAAAAAAAATATGTTTTAAAAAATTCTGTTTATGGGTAGAATTGCCATCTCTTTCACCCAACTGCAGGTTCTAAGGGAGTGGACATTCAGTAACGTGATCGGATTTGGTGAGTTGATAACATGTTAAACTGTGGTTAAAATGCTCTGATTACACCACCAGTCATACTGAAATACGCTCACGGTATGTTTAAGATTGCACACACTGATGCCCAGCTTTTGCTTTTTTAATTAACCCCATTCCTCATTCAAGACACAGGTGTGTAAAAACTCTGTTTAGCATTACACACTGTGCCTTTGGTGATGTGTGATTCTAATGGAAAATCCCATTAATGGCTGACATTGCCAAAGGTGTGGTTCTGAACTATAGAATGGAAGTTTTACCTCAAGGCGTTGTAAATTTGACAAGGCATAACCCGAGAGTCACTAAGAAATGTATGTTTTGAGATATGGTCCAACAGCCAACAGAACTGTGTGTTAAAACGTAGCCTGTGTCTCATGATCTATTGATATTATGTTTAACATGTTAGACCCAAATCTTAATGTGAGAACAAGAGTACTTAAGACTCAGCTTCAGTTGCCAAACACTCAAAATATTGACCAAATATTGATACTACAGCTACAGTTTACTAAATGATATTAGTAAAAAAACAAGACCTATTCAACTTCCTATATTCAACAGCAAAGTTATATGTTAATGTTAAAATGTAATCCATTCTGGATGTATGCATTGTACTATTTAAATATTTATTCACGTGTCTTTAGAGTTTGAACCATTTTAAACAAAGTTCGTTTTGAGAGTTGTCCACTCTCTTGTATTTCGATAACTGAAATCAACATTCTTTTTTTCAATGAGAGTCACTGACATTTATCAATAATAATCCTTGCATTTAATACAGCGCCTTATCACGTCTTCGAGACGTCTCAAAGCGCTTCGCAGATTATACTGTAAAGTAAATTGACTGTTCATTTTGTGGGAGAAACGCTGCAGCCAATTGCACACAGCAGCGTCCCACAAACAGTCGTGGGTTGAGTGATAAAGCCTGGGTATGTAACTGACATTATAACCTTTGCTCGTGGCGATGACCTCACTTAATGTAAATTAGAAAAGAAAAACTAAAATCCTGGTCAAACTGCTTACTACACACCAGCTAGGGTGAGTCAGAGACAGAGAGAAAGGCAACTAATAGTTGACTGTGGTTCGCCCAGATTATAAAGGCCTCCTCTGTTTCTCTTAGAACGTCATAGTCTATCCACCGCAGCCTGACATTAAAAATTAAACCATAATGAGTAACTGAAATGTCTAAACGCAAATCCTGTAGCAAATAGCTGACGATTTTGACACTTGAAATGATGGACTAACCGACTTAATCTTATGTAACGTGCCAATCCTTATTTAATCAGTGGAAATTTGCCACTGAATCAGCAGCTTTTCTTTTTAGTTCACGTTGCACTAGAGGAACAGTAAAAGGACTTTTACCCCAACCCCCACCTCCCCCGCTTTGAAAACCATCAAAAGTATCTTCTCTACACTGTTGAACATTTTTGTAGTGTTACAGATGAAAGGAATAAAAAAAAACTTCTCTGAAAGCTATAATTTCTGGAACATTAAAAAGAACTCTCAAATAGTATCTAATTGCCAATGGATTGTGGACTTCATTTAAGCAATAAAACTGTGCATAAGGACACTATGTACTTTCTGTGCAGAAGTAAGCCACCCACAGAGGTGTAATCATCATGATCCTTAGGTCTCCATGCTAACTAACTCAATGGAAACTCATTCCAACTCCCAGCTTGTTTATCCGTATCTTGTAGAACAGAGATGTTCCTCTTTCTCTTTCTGATTCACACCAGAACCTGCCAAGGTTTCAGGGTCTGATATAACTATTCCATCCTTTATTAAGTACAATTTGAGGCAACTTACCGTCTTAAAATCATACCAGCGAGTGTTGGGAATGTAACCAGTTACATTAGTTGCCCCCTAAAACAAAGAGTGTCAATGTTAAGAATAATCCTTGCATTTGATATCGCGCCTCATCACATCTCCGAGACGTCTCAAAGCGCTTCACAGGATACATTGTAAAGTGAATCGACTGGATATTTTGTGGGCAAAACGTGGCAGCCAATTGTGTTAATTTCGATTGAGTTAATTTCAATTAAGTTAGTAAACTATCACTAGTGATCAAAATCATTAACTCAGCATTAAATAAAAAAAAGTGGCACATATACCATTTTAAGTACAGGAGTAATCATTATTGCTGCACCCCAAAGGAACTGCTCATCGATATCCCACGTCGATTTGTCTGCATAAAACCTTTAAAAGCACATAAGACAAAACCTTTCAGTGCCTTGCTGTTTACAGTGTTGACTAAATTGTGACAGAATTAAACCATTTTTATTCGGAAAATTTTCACTTGGAGTACGAGATCATTTTAATGTACATACTCGTGCAGCAATGGTCTTATCACAGTGCTGCCGCTGACGTGAGCATCATACAGCAGTGTGTAGAGGTACGGCAACAACATGTAACGTGTTTCTAGAACATTTCTTGTATGGTTTTCAAATGTTTCATCCCAGGATGTAGGATCTTGGGGCTGAAAGACAAAGATGTGAAGCATCAATCCAGCAAATCTAACCCAAACCTACAACTCATCAGATAAATGTTTTGTTTACATTTAGGGTCAACTTGAGGGTAGTGAACTTGTGGAACTCACTCCCCCAGAAGGCTGTAGATGCTCAGTCCTTGAACATTTTCAAGGCTGAGACTGATAGATTCTTGAAAAATAGAGGGATTAGGGGATATGGGGAGAGGGCAGGTAATCAGAGTTAGGTGAGAAGATCAGCCATGATCTTATTGAATGGCGGAGCACAGGCACGAAGGGCCGAGTGGCCGACTCCTGCTCCTAATTCTTATGTTCTTATGTAATATGCATTATACAAGGCTTCTTCGAAAAAAAACTAGTAGCCTTATTGTACGATATCCAAACGTTCAATTCAATAGATTTAATTGAATCAATCAAAATTCTAACTTAATCAGGGAATGTCATTAGAAATTGCCTTATGTTAGTCTCCAGCTTATGAGTAATCTTCCATAAAACTGTACATCTTTATCTTTGTATCCTTCCCTCAGCCTGTATAATAAAATTACCATAACGTTTGTCCTTCACTGACAAGCCACATGCGGAGGCAGGTAGATGCATCTCTCTTATTGTTTTTTAGTTGCTGCACCTCTCTTTTTGTTTTCTGTTTGTCTTTTCTGGTTGCCATGAAATTTAGAGGTCCTTTTCTTTTAGCGATCTGACAAGTTTTCTCACATTTTATGTGAAGATAAATTTGTTTTCATTGCTGTTTGCATAACGTGGTATAAGCTATTTATTTTCATGATGTACTAGCTTTCTTTTGAAAAAGGTCATTGCTTTCCTACTTTAGATGTCTTATTGCAGTGGTAACACGATAACACATCGTGTTAATCAATTCATGAGGACTTTCACCAGTTCTGGGGATCAATTGATAAACACATTACTTATCAAATTGTTTTAAGTATACCCTTATCCTCCATTCCTTCCGCATTTGAACACAAATTTTTGTTGCACAGTTTTACTTTTTTTTCCACCAAGGGTGAAGAGGCTCATTTTAAGACAACTTTCTATTTTTAAATCATATTACCCTGTTTGTTTGTTTCTTTGTCACACAGTTTGCTCACACTAGTAGAAGCTGCAGCAGAAGGCAAAATCACAAATTGCTTATGCTTTTGAAATTGTTAGTCCAACACTGAGCGGCAAAATTGATTGATGGAAATGTTCCATATATTGTCAATGGTCTCCATACTTCACTTTGCCACTGACTGCCAGCTGAGGTTCAAAAGAGAGAGGTAATTTGGAACCTCAGTCCGAGGAAACTAATTCCTTTATGAGAAAAATGTTGAAAATAAAAAAACCCGGCTGATAGTTCAAGCTCAAAGGACGAAATGACATTGTAATGAACTCTAGGAGTCTCACAACCTCTTTCCCTTGACGTAGATTATATATAAACTGTTAACGATGCTTTAAAATTGTAAAATGCCGCCACAACAACAGTAATAACAAAATTATATTCATATAGCGTCTTTCGCATCGGAAAGACATCCCAAGCCGCTGGACAGTTAAGGGTTTGCACTTGAGTTGGGGGTTAGAGCCAAGAGGGGTGGAGGTTAGGGGGTGGTGGGGGTGGGAGGGTGGCCGAAAGCACAATCAAAGAGGAAAGTCTTGAGAAGGCCTTGAAGGAAGCAAGGGAGGGGGTGAGGCAGAAGGAATCCGGGATGGAGTTCCAGAGTTCTTTCTTTATTTTTTCTTGTTGAAAATGGTTAAACTGCAGAAATACATTTATTGTAATAGAGCACAGAACTCTACGCCATAAATTTAGAATAAAAATTGAATAGAACTGTCTTCAGAACTACTCCTCTGTGAGACTCTCAATAGTTTGAATTCGATATAATGAATATAAATATCATGTCATTGAAAAAAAAAAGTTTTATTTAATAAATTATTTTAAGTTAAATAAATTCTAAATAAAATTATGTTTTTGACCGCTTTTTCCAAAAATAGAAATTAGCAGAAGTTTGAGATCCTGTTTAATACTGAAACAATTGTCTGTGAGCGCTGGCTCCAAATACCATTGTTTATAATTCAGGTAATTCTCAGTAGTAACTGTGAGTCAAACAATCTACTGTTCTTTCTGATATCTCTAGTTACATCTACTATTATTTCAGATACTTTGAGACAGCAGAACAAACTGCAGAAATCCTGACTATAACCAAACTATATCAGTGTCATTGTGTTTCAGTATCTCTACTTTAATAAATGCCCCTGTTTTCATAGCAAGGCCTCTCACAGCCAAATGTTTTATGCTCAATGAGTTCCTTAATCTGGTTGTTTTCTTTTGCAAATGGAGCCTCGTACACTCGTTGCGTCTAATTACATTTTGATTTGTTGAGCCTCTTATTGAAGTGATAGAATTGACATACCCTTGTTCCTATTGAATTGTGGTTCCTTGAATAGGGATAAAATGCTCCAAGGAGCGACCATCGAAGACACAGTTCATAGGTGGTGTTTTGAAAAAAGCCGCAGATATCTGCTCCAGTCTACAGTTTAATGGAACATGTATTAGAACATCAAATTTCAGCTCTGCATAATGAAAACCAGCATTCTGTACTAAATGTTGCCAAAAAGGACTTACATAGGATATTCCAAACAGACTGAACTCCATCATTCCTATAACACAGAAACAGTAGATTTTGCTTTAGAAAGGAGACTCGTTGAGGAGTCACAGGCATCTTAGAGCTGAGGTTCAATGAAATCAGTGCCTAATTTCAAACTGAGCAGTGGAACTCCAGCACTAAGCGCAGAATATTATGGCCATCATACACATTTAATGTTGTGGAAAGAAAGCGGCAGAATAAAAGCATCCACCCCCCAGACACATAGCTTCATATTTGTGAAGGAATACTTCGGTCCAAGACGATATATGCTGCGCTGAAGCAACAGTCAGTTTCATAACACAAATCCCACCACGTGTGGTCTCAGAGGAAATGCAGTTGGAGACGTGAACCAATCAACGTAATTTAATCAGAAGAAACGGTTTTGTCTGTTGTTGTATCTGAACTAGTGACTAATACCCAGAATGGGTGATCAGTGAGAGACTGAATGATAGACTTATGGACTGAAGGCATGTATAACTGTACAGATGCATATTATTCTGTTCTCAGAGCATTGAGGACATACTAGCAGAGGCTTTATTAAGGCACATTCGTACAAAAACAGTATCTGAAATGTTACCCTTCGTACCAATGATTGATTTGTGCATTTGGTCCCAGCTGGCTGTGTTGTCTCCAAGCCAATGTCCAGACCACTGGCCACTGGTTGGGAATGTTGAACGAGTCACCACAAGGCCTCGTTCTCCAGTTACTTTCTGCAACGAACTGTGAAAATAATTTCAATGAATAAAGCGTGACTTCACAACTTTAAAGTTGATCAACAATAGTCCTTTCTAGCATTTATCTAACAATGAAATACAATTACAAATGCATATTTTCTTCACAGTGACCATACAGTGAAGACACGTTGATTGTGTATATTTAAATGGTATTCTCGTGTGCAGGTTTTGTTTCTCTTTTCTGAGCACGTGAAGAAGAGATCTGTTACCTGGGAATTGAGGGTTAAACATATTTTCGGTTCAAATTGGTGACTGCTTCACCAAAGAATGGGTTAATTTGTTTTCAGTGCACACAGTGACAGCTTCATCGCACGAAAGGTGAACTGATTCTCACGTCATGTCACGTGGTGACACATTCACCCCACAAAGGGAACTCACTCTCAGTTCACACCCTTGTTAATTTTGGCAATTAGAACAAAGCAACCTCCAGGTTAATTACTGACACCTCCAGTGTTCAATGATTGTCATGAATCAGCAGTTTGTAGCATTGTGAATTAACACACTGTCCTTTCACCTTGGGAATTTGGGTTCCAATCCAACGAGGATTAATGGATTAAATGTGCCATGTCAACCCCTTTCCCAGTAGGTGTCAACTCATAATTTAGGACAAATTGACATGAATTTAACAATCTCGTCCAGCGATGACTGATATGAAAAGTAGATACTTTTCTTGCTTGTTTAGGATGAGGATTTCAAGATCCTCATCCTCACCTACAAGGCCATTCACGGCCTCGCTCCCTCCTACCTCTCCAACCTACTATCCCCCTACCTACCTGCCCGTACCCTCCGTTCCTCTGGCTCCGGTCTGCTCCACGTCCCCCGCCCCAACCGCCCTACCATCGGTGGTCGGGCCTTCAGCCTCTCAGCCCCGAGGCTCTGGAACTCCATCCCCAGTGCCTTCGCCGCCTTCTCCCTTTCCTCCTTCAAGGCCGGTCTCAAGACCTTTCTCTTTGACCGAGCCTTCAGCTCCCCTCTCGACTCTCTTCCCCCTCCTCGCTCGCTCCCTTCCCTCCCCTCACCCTGACCATTTCTCCCCTGCTCGGGTCATGACCCAACTGTGCAGCGCCTTGGGACGTCCTCCTGACGTGAAAGGCGCTTTATAAATGGAATCTTGTTGTTGTTGTTGTTGTTTTAGGGAGCAGGAGGGTGGTTAAAAGTTATTATTGGAGCAGAGTAGAGGTATCTTTAGTCTGTATCAAACATGATATACTTTGACGTACAAGTGTACTGTATCCTTTGCATTCAAGCGTTCCGGGACGCTAGACTGCGTGAGAGGTGCTAGATAAATGCAAGTTGTCGTCGTTGATACACTAAAACCGATGACCACTAACCAATCAAAATATCAATCAAGTAATTCACAGATTACACATTTATGCCTTCAGTGTTCAAAGAGTTAAACTCCCTCAGGTTAGATTTTAAAAAGCATTAAAAGCCACAGCAAATGCACTGGTGAATCTCCTCTCCCAAGTACAACGCACAACACCTCTAAAAACAAAAATAGGATCAGGCACTTTTTATTCCATAAAATTGCACAAATGACTTTTGTGTCACATTGGAGCTAAAACATTATCCCTTATTGCTATTGACTGAGCTATAGAGCTCAATGTCAGTTTAAAACGTTTGT